ATTATACATCTTCTCAATGTAATATAAACATAACAAATAAGTAATGAGTTTCATAGTCCCTATTCCTAATCATGCTGTAACGTGTCACAATCTTTAATTTATTAAAATCGCAAGTAGTTGACGAAATGTGTAATTTTAATTTTTTTTCACAAATTGTTATGCTTTATTATCTTATAAATGGAAATATTACAAACGACTGACGACACTTCTTTGCGAGTGAAAAAATAAGGTAACTTGATATGATAAAGTATTTTTTAAGTATCAACAAACAATAAAGAGATCATTGTGGCCCCGCCCTACCCCCGGGGGTCATGATTTTTACAATTTAATATCTACACTACCCAAGGATGCTTCCACATAAGTTTCAGCTTTTCTGGTCCAGTGGTTCTTGAAAAGAAGATTTTTAAAGATTTGTTCTATATATTTCTATGTAAAACTTGGATTCCCTATTGTGGCCCCGCCCTACCCCCGGGGGTCATGATTTTAACAATTTAATATCCACACTACCCAAGGATGCTTCCATGTAAGTTTCAGCTTTTGAGGCCCAGTTGTTCTTGAGAAGAAGATTTTTAAAGATTTGTTCTATATATTTCTATGTAAAATTTGAATTCCCTATTGTGGCCCCGCCCTACCCCCGGGGGTCATGATTTTTACAATATAATATCTACACTACCCCAGAATGCTTCTTCATAAATTTCAGCTTTTTTGGCCCAGTGGTTCTTGAGAAGAAGTTTTTTTAATGACCCCACCCTATTTTCGTATTTTCTTGATTATCTCCCCTTGGAAGGGGTCTTGGCTCTTGATTTTAACAATTTAAATTCCCCTTCACCCAAGGATGCTTTGTACTAAGTTTGGTTAAAATTGGCCCAGTGGTTCTTGAGAAGAAGTTGAAAATGTGAAAAGTTTACAGACGGACGGACGGACGGACGGACACACATTTGGTTATATATTGGGTACATCAAGTCCAAGTCCTATTGGATACTGCTTATTGGATACAAAAAAAGTGTACACACGAGAGAGCATTATTTGGGTAGTTACTGTTCAAATCTTATTGGATATTAATCCTTGTGTCCGTATTTAGGTCTTTCCACCTTTCTGTGGAAAGACCTATTGATATTCTTCTGTTTATTATTATTCTTTTTTTTTTTTATTATTTTTCCGCCGCATGTTTTTGAGTTTCAAGATTTATCGAAAAGATTTATAGACCAAAAGAATGTACTTCGTAAATGATTTTCGCAGTTGACCCTGCGTATATGAACCTTGACGTCTCAAGGAGTTATGACCCCTTTCGCAATAAATGTTTGTTATCGTTTCTTCTCCGAAACCATAAAACGTAGAGTCACAAAACCTTTATTAATGTCTACGACTAATTTAGTAGATGCTTCAATCTGTCTTTTTGAAAGAATTCGTAAACTCCTATTATGAATTATTGCCCCTGAATGTTTGCGATGTTTATGAATGTCAAGATCTTTTCTTAAATGACAAGTCGTAGAGACATGGGACCAACTGCAAAAGGTTCATTGACCCTTGACCTTGAAATTTAAGTCAAGGTCAAAGGTCAAGGTCATTCAAAGTATGAAAAATTAATCTCTTTTAATAACTCTTTTGTTCTTCACCAAATTCTTAACATCTTTGCATCTTTAATATGTACTCTTAAAACCATTTTAAAGATTTCAGTCTTGTCCCCTAGGATTGAATCCCCTAAAAGTTAGTGCCTCTTTCAGTGTAAACCCTTGTTATCGCTACTCCTCCGAAACCGTAAACCGTAGAGGTACGAAACCTTCAACAATGTCTGCAACTAATTTAGTACATGTTTCATTCCATAAGTGCGAAAGAATTCGTAAACCATTTTAAGCAGTTTTTGACACTGACAGTTTCTCATGTTTACGAAGAACTGAAAACTTCTTAACGACAAGTCGTAAAGACATGTGGACAATGCATGAGATCTTTCGACCTTTGACCTTGAGGATAAGGTCAAGGTCAAAGGTCAAGGTTATTGCGAAAGTATCCAAATTGCTTATAAACTTTTTTTTGGGGGGGGGGTGGGGGGGTTTAAATGATCTTGACCCTTGATCTTTGATCTTGATCCTAACTCAAATTTATTTCAATTTGATTTACATTTAATATCAATCGAATAATTAATAGGAAAAAAAAAAAAAAAAAAGCGAATTTTCCTCTCAAATAAATTTCCACGCTCTCAGTGACACAGTTTTCTTCATGAAAAGCATGTTTCAAGTTTAATTTATGCTGATAACTATTAATACAATCCAAATAGAGATGATTATTTAATCTTACCTATGAGTTCACCATATCTGTCAAAACGAACGCGCCTATATTTTCATAAATAGTAAACACATTGCCGACACGGAAGTTCGAATGTATCATAAGCTCTGTATGATTAACTCAATCTATTCAAAGTATAAACAAACTCAAATGATTTTTTTAATAGGAATTCGGCATTTCCATTATACACCAATCGTGTTTCTCAGAACTATTCATTATTCCTCTCTATGTTCCATCACAAACAAATAAATACACGTGTTTCTGTACTATTTAAAAACGCACGTGTGTCTATTTTTGTTTAAATCCATGTGCTTTCAATTCGCCTGTCAATCTGAAGCTCCCGAGTTCGAATCCGGCGGGAGGCACATTTTATTTGGATTTTTTTTTTTTTTTTTTTTTTTTTTTTTTCAACCCAAAGGACACGGGAACACTTAAAAAGGTGGAAAGACGTCTCATTGTTCTCTGAACAATTAGTTTACTAGTTTATTGGGTTTTTTCTTATTGTTTTTTATTCATTCCAAGTTTATTATATATTTAATATTTGCTGGTAAATTCAGACAAGACTGAAAACCTTTGGATTTGAACCCATATTTTTGTCAATTTCTGTGATAAAGCTCTTTTATTGTAACAACTAACTAATTTGTTCTTAGCAATAAGGATATACACCTGTATATTCCAAATTCTCTAATATTAAAATATATGAATACCTAAGTGCAAAAAAAAACTGAATTGTGCAAACACAACTAAACATATCTCAGACTCTGTTTAACCTTTGTTGAATAGCAAAAATAAGTATTTAAGGAAAACCTTTTTTTAGTCATGACCAGTTAATAATAAGCAAATGCCCATTACATGTTGGGCAGAATGAAGGTATCCAACAGGCATTGGACAGGTGTCCAATACCTGTTGAGTTGAATTTTGACGATGGGATTAAACTACCCAAGAACAATTGAACATGTGTACATTGTCCAATTCTATTTGGGTTTCTTGAATTTCCTCATCAAAATACAACCCAACAGGTAATGAACACCTGTCCAAATCCTCTTGGATATCTACATCCCACCCAACAGGTAATGGACACTTGTCCAATTCTTTTTGGGTTTCCTGAATCTCCTAATCAAAATACAACCCAACAGGTAATGGACACATGTCCAACTCTTCTTGGATATCTACATCTCACCCAACAGGTAATGGACACTTGTCCAATTCTTCTTGGGTTTCTTGAATTGTTTCATCAGAATACCACCCAAAAGGTAATGACATCAGTCCAACTCCTCTTGGATATCTACATCCCACCCAACAGGCAATGGACACTTGTCTAATTCTTGGGTTTCTTGAATTGCATCATCAAAATACAACCCAACAGGTAATGGACACCTGTCCAACTCCTCTTAGATATCTACATCTCACCCACATGTAATTGAAACTTGTCAAATTCTTCTTGGGTTTCTTGAATTGTTTCATCAGAATAACACCCAACAGGTAATGGACATCTGTCCAACTCCTCTTGGATATCTACATCCCACCCAACAAGCAATGGACACTTGTCTAATTCTTGGGTTTCTTGAATTGCTTCATCAAAATACAACCCAACAGGTAATGGACACCTGTCCAACTCCTCTTGGATATCTACATCTAACCCAACAGGTTATGGACACTTGTCCAATTCTTCTTGGGTTTCTTGAATTGTTTCATCAGAATACCACCCAACAAATAATGGACATCTGTCCAACTCCTCTTGGATATCTACATCCCACCCAACAGGCAACTTGTCTAATTCTTGGGTTTCTTGAGAATCTCCTCATAAGAATACTACCCAACATGTAATGGACACCTGTCCAATTCTTCTTGGATATCTTCATCCTTCAATAGCTTCAATAGTATATAGAAATTAAAAGGTATTGGACATTCTTCTTGGGTTACTCAATTTTTTTTTCATAAGAAAGAAAACCCAATAGGTTTTGGACATTGGTTCAACTCCTCTTGGATATTACATCCCAGCATTAGAATAAAACCCAACAGGTAATGTTTACTTGTCCAATTCTTCTTGGGTTACTTATACCCTTCATTAAAATTGTCAAATTTGTCTTAGATATTTATACTCTTGCATTAGATTGCAAACCCAATAAGTATGACATTTACCTTCCCAAGTTGAATTCAAATTTATCTGCATAAGCATACATAAGTCCAAAACATATTTGATACTTTAATTCTAACATTCCACATCGCATTCAGTGTACACTTTACAAATGATAGGAAATATATAAGCATTTTGTACCTAAAATATTTGGCTTTTAAAGAACTTTATAACCATGTTTGCAAAATTTAAATTTAAATATTGGAACTTGGAGCAAATCATTACAGGTAGAGCAAGATGCTGAAAAACATATTGATAAATAGATCACACCCTTGATAAAATATTTGCCTTCAGTTGCTAAGATTGTGTTGTATTATATGGAAAATTTCTATAATTCTGTTTATTACAGATACATGTACAATGCATATTTTCCCTGTAATAATAAAAATACTTTTGAGATGTAAAAGAATGGATTTAATAGTCACCGATGTTAAAAGATATTACATGTATCTCATTTATCTGGTTTGGAAATCACAAACTTAGTTTTGAAGCCAATTAAACAGTGCCGCACCAGAAAACTCAGTTACAAGTACAATGAATGAATTCGTTATATCAAAACTTTAAAATAATGGATGCACTATGTCCAAATCTTTTTGACAAATCGGGATAAAAATATTAAATCAAATCATCACTGTTATACGTCTTAGAGCAAGAGAAAAGTCATTACATGCCCAAATTTTACATGTAAGGCTTTGATCCTATATTTCAATAAATGTCAAAATGATTTTATATTTGTTTCTCTTCCATACTTTCTTCTTCAGGGTCTCTCATGGCCTATACTGTATGATACCTCCATTGACCCTGCTCTTTTATATTGCCATATGTTTATCCAGTAGCAATGGTTATGCTCAGGCAATCTTTGAAATATTCCTCATTTCATGCATCTCCTTCAAATCTGCCTCTGTCCTTTTTATTCATTCTGCAATTAGATAAAGGCATTTCTTTGCCGGATAAAACATGTTTTTCTTGACTACAGTAAGATCACCCTTTATGTTGATTAAACCCAACCAAGAAGTAGAAGTATATTTCTTATTCAGAAATATGTATTGATAAATAAAATGGAGGAAAAACTAAATTCTATCAACTCTTTTTTGTTTCTTCTATGTCTAACTGCATCTTCATCCTATCCCCCATCTGCCATAATTTTATCAAAATGGAATCATCATTCAACACACAAAACGATTTTGCATATTAATTAGACAGTTTGTTAGTTTCTGATTGTTAAGAAAGAGATTTTAAAAATATTTCACAACTATTCCTTGCAAATTTTAGACTTCTAATGTAACACTATCAGTACATTAGGGGTTCATAATCTTCAAAAACATTTCTACATTTAATGATAAAGCTTTCACATTAGTATTGTTTTTAGCTCAAAAAGGTTCTGCTAAAGAGGATTTAAAATTGACCCAAACCTTACTAACAGCTTTGAAATTATATTGACAGGGACAGAGACACTTGACACTCCATCCCCCTTTCCTGGAGTATGATTTGCACAAAATTTAATTAAAATTGACTAAGCTGGATAGAAGTTGAAAATATGAAAAATTACAGTCAAACAGAATCTGAATAACTTTCACCACATCAGACATGAAGTAGTGATCCTTAAATAAAATACACCTACAAGACGATGCTATTTTATTCCTTTGAAGTGATATCTAGTATTGTTTCTTTTCCTGTATGCCACCTCTATCAGAACAAAATGTTATACACGTATTAACATAACCTATGACCGAATAGTACCATGGTATTTACTTTACAATTAATTAAGTTCTGGAACCAAACCCCAGATGCCCTTAAAACAAATGATTCAAAACTGGCAAAGGTAAAGGGCATCTGAAGAATATAAAATAAAATGATAGTACAAACAAGAAAACAGTGTGCATGGAAATATTGGCAAACACTAGAATAATTACTAAGGTACTTTCTACTAAGGTACTTTCTCAAACTCAACATGAATACTAAAGAGGTTTTATGTAGCTGTATTGCACATACCAAAAGCTTTCCTGCCATTAAAGGTTGGTTGCCTAGTAGTTATGTAGTATGTACAAGTTTTTCCCTCTATTTCTTATAATTTAAGAAGCTAAAATGTCTCAAATCGTATGGTTGGCATGAAGTATTCCTGATCATTTTACTGATTACTTACAACAATGTACAATTGTCCTATTTCTGAGGGTCATCTTCTGATGAGTGTGTTCTCTGCTATGTTCACAATTGAAGTTCCTGTTTGACCTGTTACATATTGAAAATCCTCAATGATCATGATTATGGTTTAAATTTCCATTGCAATTATTGATTAATTTTATTAAAAAAATTTTAAACCAATTTATTGTAAAAAATACTTAGGAAAATATTTATGAAATATCAATGGAAAAAAGGAATCAATATCTCTAGTTATCCTAAAATCACAAGTAAGCATTAATCATATCAATTCACATACGTAAACCCATTAGCTTTTTGTGCTATTAAATCATAGTCATCGCTGTGCAATAAAGGAAATCAAGTACTAATCCACAGCTTGGTGGCAATAAAGTTACTATCCCCGAGTAAAAAGTGACAAGCCCAAATATAGAGGCAAAAACTAAAAAGTAACATTTAAAAAAGTTCATCGTGAATAAAGTCAGGGTATTAACTACAGATGGTTCTTTTTAAAATTAAAGTTTAATTTAATTTTCGCTAGTAAAATTTAATCATATATAAATTAATGATTTAAAAAAATGAAAAAAGATTTTCAATATTCCTTTTCTGGCCATTCACTAGTTCGTCTAATTAAAACGAAGCAAAAATCATTTTGTTTTCATCTTGAATCATTTAAAGCCATATATGGCGTATGTACAATGAAAATTATTAGACTGAAATTATAATAACTTATTATTTGTATCAATAATTATTTAAACATGATAAAGATAGAAATTTTCCGTAAATTACAAAATCTAAGTCAATTGCGTTATAAAGATATCAAAATTTAATTTGGATTCTCGAAATTTTCTCCGACTTGGAAGAAAATACAAAAGATTTAAATAACACATTACAGAGAAGATAAAATCGTATTATTAGATGAAACGAGGTGTTCTCCGTGCTCCGAATTGTATGAAAAGCTTTAATTTAAATGTATTAACTATATTTCTTTACTTAAGGGGGCCTACTATAGTTTTATCGTGTTAAAACTACATTCTTTATTATCATCTCAGCTAACTTTGCGATTGTAATATTGTCTACATGAACCGATAATTTACAGCTGATTTATGAACACACGATTGTTAAAATTTTCATTTCCCTTTCCAATATACATTGTCAGAACATACTTAGTTTGTTATGATATAAAATTAAATAATTAACACTTTCGATTTATTAAAGATTATCTAACAATATACGATTATTTACTAAATACTTCTCGCCCTCAAGAGAATTAAAAAGACAGAGAAAATTCAAAATACATACAAGTGCAACTTAGGATTCATTGTTCCGATATATATGTATTTTAATTTTGGGCACAATTGTTTTCAAAATTACATTAAAATCAATTTTCCTTAAGCAAGAAGCCAGCAATAGATAAATATCAATCGAATAAACTTACCTTTTCTCTTGTCAATCAGACAATCTTGTTGACATTAAGTGTTTCTTAGTCGCCATATTTTTTTCCATGAAAACAAACGTTGTTATGATCAGGATCAACGGAAGTTGATTTTCGGAACTCTCAAGAATTTAGAGTTCCGAATGTAAAACTGAAACACAAAACACGGTGCATCCGTGAAAGCAACTTTTTTGGACACTTTTTTGGACAAATCGTCGTGTCCAAGTTTTGTTGGGTACTAACCTGCAAATACCCAATTAGGGTGTTTTAAGCATATTCAGCGACACTTCTTATTGGGTATACCCAATAAGCAAAAAGTACCCAATAAGTACAATCTTGGCATGAAAAATACCCAATAAATGCACTCTCGTAAACACGGACAGACGGACGGACAGACGGACGGACGACGGACACCGGGTGATCAGAAAAGCTCACTTGAGCTTTCAGCTCAGGTGAGCTAAAAACTCAATAAATATTTCCAGTGCATTCTTAACCTAGATATATTTTTTCAATACATATAGTACAGTTTTGGATATATATGATAAATTTAAAGTTCAAATGATAGAAGCTATTAAATAAAACAATGACATCAAAACAAACATGCTGTTCTTCATTTTCTGCTTAATATGAACATCACATGACCATATTTTGCTGATATATAGAAATTATTTAAAAAAAAACTTAGCTACTTTATGCTTGTGCTCACACATTATAAACGTTTGATGCACTTTTTTATAGAAACAAACTTGCTCTAGTTTAATATTTTAACAACACAATTCTGTAAAATATATGCCTAATGCCGATAAAGAATTGAAATAATAGGATAAACAACGAATGAAAACTGACAGAAGTGGAAATTTATATTTTAAAGATAAAAAATATTCACTTTAAAGTCTGAGAGAGACTCACATCATAAAATGTAAACCTACTGAATGGCACAGATTTTATACAATAGATATAGACATTTATATTTCGGATTTCGGGGGGGGGGGGGTTCAGCTGTATCAGCAAGTAATGTTGATATACTTCAAATTCATTTTTATTAATAAAAATAATTAATTCATTGGTCAGAAAGTCAAACTGTCAAAAAGTATAGTTCGCTTGATTTGATAATGAATCACCACTGACCACTAACCGGTAAAACAACTGTAAGGCAAATAAAATTAAGAAATATGCATTGGTTAATCTTGATATTTTTGAAATGCTCACTGCATACATAAATTTACCTTCTGTCTTCATTGTTTAAGAAGTCTAGCCTTCTTTTCTTCTTCCAGACTGTAAAACTTTGATGAAATCTTTCACCAGAAATGTTCATGCACAATGTTTACTAAATACACATTGTACCTCCAAACGTTAGAGAGTAGTTCAAGGGAAGTAATTAGGAAGCAAAAGTAATCTTTACCTTTGAATTTCTTTTACATCTTTGAATCTCCCACCAATATTTTACATATTTTAATAATATGTTTTATGGTGTGACCGTTGGGGAGCGCAGTTGTATCATCAGAAACACTCTAAAAATTGATCAGCCACTTCAAACATCAAGTCGCACGAGACAGCTCGACTAGCTGTGACGTCACACGACGTCACGGAGTTCGTCGAAGCTTACGGAGACAGCCGAGCGTCTCTTTGAAACTCTGGACCTAGTGCAAGTTTGGTTGAAAAACATTGTAGAGTTATTTTTTGTTTCTTTGAAAGATTTCTACAAACTGATCTAGCCTTTCATGCTTTACGTTATTATTTATTTATTTATTTGCGCAAAGGACATTGGGTAGAACAGGAATTCTGGGAATATTTCACAGAGAAAATTGGCTGACGTATGTACAGATTTCAATCCGAATTTCCTCTGTTCTTACATGATAGTCTATTGAGCTCGCTATAATCAAATATCAGCCTTTCATAATTAAGTATCACTAAATTTGTAATCAGTGTGCCTTTTTTTTAAGCCTCCAAAAACTCCACTAAACAAATCACCTATCTGATATGATGTAATATGTAAAATGGCCATTTACTATTGAGAAATTAAAATAAAATTAAAACTACAGATATAATTACTTTAATCTGTAGTACTGAATTAAATAATTAAAACATGTTAAGTTATCTCTTTCATTTCGGGACACAGTTTTTCCAGAAAAGTGTACATGTACGAAGTTGAGGAATTTGCACCCCGTTTCTATTGCAATCAAGGGTCTATTTCATAAACCCACTTTAGATTTTACAATTAATGACATAGCTATATAAAATTATTATTAAAAAATCAGAATGCTTTTCTATGCGTGGCCAACCAATTTTGATAATTGCAGAGAATTGATATTAAAACCTAAATAAGCAAATCATACCGCTCGATAGGGTCATCGGATGATGAAATATTGAACACTTACAGGACAGGCGTTAATGTGAATACCGGTACTTAAAAATCAATAATAGTAAGTTTTTTTAATTGGACAAATTATTATAAATTGTGAGTAAATGGTTTAGCTATTTGATAAAGGAGTTATTGAACTTATAGTAGTGAAAATTGGCACCCGTGGGATGTCTAAATGCACTCGCAAGCTCGTGCATATGTACAGCCAACTTGTGCCAATATTCACCAATATAAGTTCAATAACCATATTATATTAATGTATTCTTATTTACGATGACATGTTTTTATTTTGGTTGAAAACAAAACAGAAAAATTCCTGCACTGTTCCTTAATTTTGAGTTATTCCCCTTGACATCGAATTATTATTCATAATGATCGAGAGTTTCTATCTTGTAATTAAAGTTATTGAAAACAAATTGTCATAAATATATTTGCATGGATTTATTTTTACTTTTATTCGTAGTTACTAAACGGTGCCTCCCTCACATGACTTATAGAACTGTTCTCATCCGGTCACTTGGCTTAACCACTTTCAGCATGTCACATTTTTGCCCTTCCCAGCATAGATATTGCAAATGACGGCCTGTTGATTGTCTGCCCCTTTTGTTTATACAATACAACAAAGCCATCAGTTTCTTTCTTTCTTACTGTATAATTGACTCTATTCGTTAAAAAAAAACATTCTCTCTTATTTACCTCTATAACATACGTTTTATTTATTTCCACCCCCTAGAGAATTCCAAACGGGAGATCACTCTCAATTACTGTTTTCATATGTGAAGGAATGCATTTTTCTTGTATCGATTTCTTATACATATATATTAGTTCGACTCCAAGTAACTTTAATTTTGAAATGTTCAACTCCAAGCATATTCACACTTCAAGAAATCTTACATCTTTCAAATTGTTCATCGCCAAATAAAATTCAATCTCCAATAATAATTTTGTTGTAAACTTATTGTATAAAGAGCTAAATCCACGAAGTGCAAAAATTCGCCTAGTCATCAAAATAAGTTAAACTTCCTGACATTATACTCGAAGATTTGTATGTTGTAAAACATTTTATTTTTTAAGAATATCTTTTCTGGTTTTCTTTTTATAGCCGTTTCAATTTAGCATTGTTTTTTTAATTAATGCTGTCACGTCATTACGTTGACGTTATATGCTTCAACATCATGACGTTGACGTTTTATATAAAAAAAAAAACACGTTAATGGAATAAAAATCACCAATATAGGCCATTCTTCACAATTTTAAAATTTCAGGACAATATTTCTCAATATTTCAAAGAAATGAGAACTACATGTATTTGTTTTATATTCATAAATGATAGTTGACTGGAAATCCTGTGGATACTTGTAACACCTTTTAAATGAAAATAGGGAACAGATTAAGTTGCACACCAA